TTGGTTATTCATGTTGTTGGTTATTGGTTGTTGTTGGTTATTGGTTATTTATGTTGTTGGTTATTCATGTTGTTGGTTATTATTGACCTACGATCTGGCTACTGGCAGATCCTGATGCATGAGTCTGATAAAGAGAAGACAGTGTTCGCTACTCCTGATGGCCTCTTCGAATTCAATGTTATGCCTTTTGGGCTCTGCAATGCCCGTGACACATTTGAGCGAATGATCAATACAGTGCTGCACGGCCTATATTAGAAGACCTGTCTTTGTTACCTGGACGACATTGTAATCTTTTCATCCAGCTGCTCGCAACACCTAGAACGTCTAGCCGAGGTGCTCACATGTCTAACCAAAGCTGGTTTCCAGCTAAATACCAAGAAGTGTCGGTTTGTGAGCCACAGTATCAAAGCGTTAAGCCACGTTGTCAGCAAGCTTGGTATCGAACCTGATCCCGACAAGGTGACCGCTGTGTTGCACTTTCGTAAGCCCACCACGCTAAAAGACCTTCGCAGCTTCCTCGGCTTAGCCTCTTACTTCCATTGCTTTGTCTGTGATTTCATCACAATCGCGGCTCCTCTTCACAAACTGCTGACCACAAGTGCATCATTCATTTTAACAGATGACTGTGAAGCAGTTTTCCAGACCTTGAAGCGCTGCCTCACGTCAGGACCAGTTCTTTACGATTTTCATCCCACAGCCCCTACTATATTACACACTGACGCAAGTGGGCATGGAATCGGTGCTGTCTTGCTGCAGCGTGACCAGGCTTCACAAAAGCAAGTCGTGGCTTAAGCGAGCCATACTCTCTCCAGTGAAACGGAATCACAGCATCACTGAAGAAGAATGTCTGGCTATCGTGTGGTCCGTGCGAAAATTTCGCCCCTATTTGTATGGCCACCACACTGCGATCGTCACGCATCATCATGCACTCTGTTGGTTGTCCTCTAAAAACTTTTCAGGACGCTTCGGTCGTTTTGTGCTCTGGCTGAAGTAGTATGACTGCCGTGTCACATACCGATCGGGTTTGAAGCATCAAGATGCCGACGCTTTGTCCCGCTGTCCGTCGTTGCAAAATCATGACACATCTACGTGCTGCGCAGGACCTCTCAGCCAAGAGACCACGCAGATGACCAGTCTTAGTCCCATCGATTTCACTGCACCGGAGGACCTCCTTCAGTCCGCAGATCTCACCTCGCTCCAACGTGCAGACACATACTGCCATACAATCATCGATCGGCTCACCAGCTTGTCCCGTACTCCCAACAGCCACTTACGACGACAACTCACACGTTTCAAACTTCATGATGGAGTGCTACTTCAGCAAATGTACCATCCTCTCGGTAGCCGATAGGTCCCGGACATACCTCGTTCACTTCGACTCCAAATTTTAGAAGCCTTACATGACGACCCGACGGCTGGCCAATGGGGTTTTCATAAAACCTATGATCGCACTAAGACTCACTGCTTCTGGCCTGGCATCTCCACTAGTGTTTTTAAGTGCGCCACTGTTCGTTATGTCGGCACCAAAAACGTTCGACATCTTTTCACGCCGGCCCTCTACAGCCTCTTCCGTGCACATCCGCTTCCTTCGACTTTGTCGGTATAGACTTACAGGGACGCCTTCCGCTTACCCCCGCCGGTCTCCACTAAATTGCTACTGCCGTAGACCATCCTACTCGCTACGCTGAGACGGCAGCTCTTCCTTCTAGCGCGGCCTCCGAAGGGGCCAACTTTTTCTGCGTATCGTTATCTTGGCCACAGCGCCCCTTATGTTCCCCTGAGTGACCGTGGCAAGATATTTCTTGCTCATGTGCTCGCTGAAGTCCTACAAGTTTTTGACACCATCCATAAGACCACCTCGGCATATCAGCTGCAAACAAATCGTCTCAGTGAGTGTTTTCATTGAACTTTGTCAGACATGATCTCTATGTATGTCTAGCCCGATCACAAGAACGCAATACTACCATTTGTCACATTTGCCCGTAACACTGCCAACGCACTACAAGTTACAGTCCGTTTTTCTTTGTGTGTGGCCATGCACCATCTTTTGTTCTAGACACCAGCTTCTTGTCCACGCCCTCTGTCCCATCTGCATCTCATCCGGAAGTGTTCGCTGCCCGTGTCAACCACTGTCACACAATCACCCGCTCCAACACCTTTACCATACAGCCCAGCGAAAAGTTCATCGTGATGCGACCTGTCAAGTTGTGTCATTCTACCCAGGCGACGAAGTACTACTCTGGACACCTGTTCGCACACCTGGCCTCTGTGAAAAATTTGTTCACAGGTACCTAGGTGCTTACACCGTGCTTGAACGAACATCGGCCGTGAGTTATCTCGTTGCTCCGGTTATTTTCGCTTTTGATCACCGTCGTCGCGCGACCGAGATCACCCATGTATGTGCCTCGCCTGAAGCCTTATATCCGGCGCTCGTACGCTTACTAAAAGGGCATCTTGCTGACCGCTGACTGTGTAGTACATCATCTTAACTTGCGCATACAAATCATTATGATCATCATCATCGTAGTCTCTCGCCGCGCGTACGGTTCCTGGCTCGCGCGTCTGTGTTGAGAAATACAACGATCGCTATATTATATATATATAT